ACATCTCCGCAAATAAACACACACATATCTCCACACGCACACACACATCTCCACACACACACACCTCCACAAATAAACATGCACGCGCACACAGATCTGCGCAAATAAAGACACACGTGCACACACATCTGCGCAAATAGACATGCATGCGCAAACACATCTCCGCAAATAAACATGCACGTGCACACACATCTCCACACACACACACACACACACACACACACACACACACACACACACACACACACACACACACACACACAACCTCCTGATGAGACGGTGAAAGTCCGACGAAACAGTCTGGCACAGTCGTGCTTTTTTTAGTGTATAGCGAATTTGACAACACACACACAGTGGGGGGGGGGAGGGGAGGGACGAGGAGTAGGGGGTCGGACATGTGCAAAAGAGAAAACAAAGAACATATGAAATTATGCCTACCAGTTCCCAAATGCATTCATCCCATCTGTTCAACTGGTCCATGGAGACACACCACTGGCCCACAAATACACAGACCGTTCATCGCCACACCCACACCTCTGTGACGCAAGACACTGCAAGAAGTATTGCTTACATGAGCCAATGAGATATGGAGGAGAAAATCCATCTTTGGTGCATGTGTGCAATCTGGATCCTGGCAAATTTACTAGCGTTGCCAACAGCAATGATCACATAAAACACGCTACACCTTTCGAACTCTATTCAGCTCAAAGACTAGATGAAGGTTCTGTAACCTCATTGCCAGATTTTGCAGGTCAGATTAGTCTGCATAAAAATCCATGCAGTTCACCACACCACTTACATCCCATCACTTGTGTGAACTGATACCAGCTCACAAAAGCAAGGAAGCTCCTATAAGACTCATCTCAATATATATTCTGGAGACTTTGCAACTGCCAAGGCTGAACTCAATATCCATCTTCCGACCGTGCAGGCACCACAAGAGAAAGCAGTGCCGCAGTGGAAATTCCCTTCTCGTCCCGCTTCACCCAACAGACTTCCCTCTCTCTCTCTCTCTCTCTCTCTCTCTCTCTCTCTCTCTCTCTCTCTCTCTCTCTCTCTCTCTCTCTCTCNTCTCTCTCTCTCTCTCTCTCTCTCTCTCTCACACACACACACACACACACACACACACACACACACACACACACACACACACACACACACACCCATGACTCCGAAGCTGTTACAGCGACAGCAACATGAGCACCCATGCATCAAAGTGGGGTAGACTGTCAGCACGCGTGTTGCTGGCAACGAGAAACTACCCGTTCACAGTATCTGTCGCTTGCTTAGCTGAAAAATTACTCTTTGCAAAGTTCTCAAGAAAATGCCACACAACCAACCACCATACATGTCCATCTGTCTCATTAAGAAGAAGCACTCCAATCCATCTCTACAGAAAGCAAAAATTTAAAGCGAAGAACCTATAGCACAGTAATCAGATCCTGGTTTGCTTCTCAACCTGCCAATCATATCATTATTGATCATTCATACAACTCAACGGGACCACATTCTGGAGAACAATGACGAAAGGGAACTGATGCCACAAGTTCGGAACACAATAATCGTATAGAAATCTGATAAGGAAAAGTTTCTTGCATATCAACAGATATTCACACAAGTGCCGGTCTTCGGCTGCTAAGGAAAGTCAAGCATGGGCAATGCCATGAACGTCTTATGAAGGCAGACAGCAAAATCTCGAACCAACTCCCGCCGGAAAGTACATCGCCCAGACACACTTGAGAATCAAAATCGAGCCAATCCAAACATCTTGGGGCCCCGGGGCTACCGGACCACCACAACGGCTGGCGGTGCCAGCTGGAAAAGAAAAAGTGTACCGGGCAAAAGCTTCATTGGAGAAGGCATGGAAAAATAGGAAAAAGAAAACATTGAGGCATATTGAGGTGTCAGTGACATTTCCTTCCTCATCCAGATCAATCAGCTCAGTCTCTCTTCCCGACCTATACTCCCCTTGCACCTTCTCCAATAGGGACCTAACTCCAGAAAGGAAAAGAAAAGAAAAGAAAAGAAAAAGAGGGAGCACATCTTTGTCAACTAGAACACATTGAGCACTTCTCTAAGTTCTCCATCGTTTCTGAACCAAGCGGAACAAGGATAAACACCAGTACTTTCTAGCATTTCTCAGCCATCTAGAATAATTGTCCGTACTTGTCAAATTCTCTGTCATTGCTCTGACATGTATAACAATTCTGCACATTCTGTGAGGCATCCTGCATAGTTTGGGAATGCCCGTGAAAGTGGAGCCACAGACAGAAGAACAAAGCCGCTTCCACACACCCCTTGCTGACGCATGTGCACGTCCACGCAACAAGGCCACTGCCGAGCAGTCCTTGTACCCTTCCACTTTTAAAAGAAGGTAGCGTGTCTTTGCAGATGTGCACGCTCTCGCAAGAAACAAGCAGGCAACCGGCTCAGCTTTCGCTGCCCCCGCTTCTCTTGTCCGCCGCAACATCAGTTGCTGCCCTCTTCTTCTCCTTTCACACCCTCCCTTCCTGTCAAACATAAGTATAGCATCTGATTGAGGATCCTCTGATAGCAAATCCATCCCTACAAACATCACTAAAATGACTCATCAAGGTCATGTTCACTAGAGCAAAGATTGCAGCCAATCACCACCTAGCAATTGAGACCTTGCGGAGACCACTCAGTAAGCGACATCTCGACCTCTATACCCCATCCACAGGGAATTGTCTATCGCCCCACATGTCACACACCAAGCCGGTGCGAAGTCCGGTGCACGCACGAAAGGGAAGATCTTTACTGGTTCAACACGCGTCCTGCCTCAGCAAAAACCATCCACCAAACTCTTCCCATCAATCAACACGATCATTCATATTCTTGGGTACTCCCTCCCAAAACAGATCCCAAAACAAGTCATAAAGACTAGTATGTGGCAAATCAAACCTACATGAAAGCTAGATCCCTATACATGAAACAATGAGAGAAACAAGTCACAGAAAAGACGAATATGTGGCAAATCAAACCTGCATGAAGCCTATGCGAGGCCACTGCCTCTAAGGGCCTCATAAGGCCCCAATTTTGCAGCCCGTCGGCCGCCCTAAGTGAAGGCAGGCTCGACGAGGCCCTCAGGGCCCTTTTTCTGGCCACCACGCAACTCAGGGAAATTSAGGCAGTTGCGCAGCGCCAGTTGGTTGAGTGAACCCAGGCCCTGGGCCGCCTGTGTGAATGAATGTGAAGCAGGCCCTGGGCTGAATACGGGTACCGGGCCAAACACTG